TAAATTTTGTTAGCATAATCAAATAAATCCAGTAAGAACAATGAGCTGAATTATACTGTTAAATATATGCCATGAATTCTAATTATCAGTCTATAATTTCATTTAAACAGCATTCATTATGAATTTAAAAAGCAATTAATTGTTCTGAAATTGTACTACTAAAAATAAAAGGCCTTGCTCTTGTCTCTAGAATGTTTCCAGAAGTGGCTCAATCTATATTTTTAGGATTCAAAAATCACTCATATTTTATGAGTTTAGCATTAATTAAACACAATTTAATCCACTGGACATCATGAATAGTAAAAAACTATCATATCTCAAAACTAGTATGTACATAGTGAGATAATTAGTAAAAAAACAATTATTGAATTGGTTCAGACACTTTAGTAATCAAGCCTTGACTACCATATAAGTCACATATTCCAAACAATTTTTGAAATATTTGTAAAAGAAAATTTAAAATGTGCTAATCTAGTCCTTCTACCTTCAGCATTAAAACTGATAATATAGGTGGAAATCACTTTTCTACGAAGAATTAATATTAAAGACTAAATCTGATTTGCCACCCCTAAAATACTCCTCCAGATTTTTATTGTGATTTATACTCTAGGATGCATATATGGTCCATGGAAAATATTCTATCCAAATCTACCCCAGAACATTAAATTTACCCTTCTCCTTGTAATCTTGATAAACGCAGTACATTTCCATGTAGAAAAGCAAAACTAGAATCAAAGACCACCAGCAGCATTTTGAAGTAGAGTCCTATCTTAAATTACTTTCACACTTAAGACTTAAATGTGATAAATAGCTTACCCATAATAACAGGAAAAAAAGATGAGAAAAATACAAATCTTTTTAGCAAAATATGAATGTACTTTTTAAATTAAAATATAAGGGAACTCAAATTTTCTAACATTATATAAAAATGAAAAATACAATTAAAACAACAAAAGGAGAATGAGTTCACAATGGTACCATTTTATTCCTCAAAAACATATATGGTGTTTTTTCAAAATTTCTTTGTGCCTTAAAAGGAGAATTCTCAATTTATAGCCAAAAGCACTGCAGTAATTGGCATGACCAGGGTACAGTGTACTTTGTATTCAATTATGTTTATAAGCAAGAACTTCTTCCACTTTGAAAACTATGCCTAAAAAGGAATTCTCTTTGAAGACTAAAAGAATTTAATTAAAGATAAAGCCACTTGGGTGGCCACATAGCACATCAAACAGATCATACTTCAAGCAGAATCATAGGAATATAAATGAAGTGTACTTTTCTGTATACATCAATTTGGTTGCAGGAATTTACATCCAAAAGTACACTATCACATTTGCTCAGTTAATACATCTGGGCTTCAATTTAACTTCAGGTGGCAAACACTGATTAATAACCTACTACCAAGTACATTACTTTAATTACTAAAAATAACATACTTGAGAATTCTTGGTCTTATAGGGCTGGAAAAAGCCTCAATATTACAAATTTTAAAAAAAGTTCATAAACAACTTGAATTTTATCAAAGCTTAAATATTATAAATGAATGAATTTCCACAACCATACAAAAATGTTTCTATGAACCTAAAAGTAACATCAAATATTTTTAAAAAATCTCCATTATAAATTATCTTCAATTTTCATTACAGGTTGTCTACGGGCAAGAATATTACCATTTTTATTAGCATTTTCTGGGTATTTATTTATCCTACACAATTAAAGTATAAGGAGCATACTTCATTGAAACATCCACTCAAGACGCCATTTTAAAGAACAGTAGAAATCTTTTGGAAATGATATACCTTCCTTACCTTTCTAAATTTAACAAAGTAATATAGGATTGTATTTATGTCACAGGATCATTATTATGTACAATGTTCCATTATAATACTGCAAAGCAATAATAACTTTAGGGATAGAGATAAAAATGATGTGCTTTAAAGTCAATAACTGCTTGCTAATTCCCCACTAGCTGTCACTTGTATTGTAAGCAGCTCCATTCCTTGCTGTTTATAACTTGATGAACCCAATCAATAAACAATACAAGTCCAAACCTGAAGACAGCAGCTTCTTGCCTCCTTTGACTAACATCTGATACAATACAAATTTAAAGAACATGAACAAGAAATAACTGAATACATGAAAGATCATGAAAACAGAACTACACATTACATATAAGATTTTTATGGTAGATCAACAGCAGTAAAGGATGCAACATATAAAAACAGGTGGACTGTCAATAATCTGAATAATAAAACAGGGAACTTTAGACACTAGGCATCCTTTTTGCCAAACCAAAGGCTACAATAAACTAGAATGCTCAGAGTGAAATCTTTAGTTCCATAGAAGACAGACAAATGAGTAAATGAAAAGAAATAATCCCAGTTATGTTAAATGGCAGCAAAACTGGATAAAGCACTTGAATACAGCAATTGGACAATGAGAAGCTACTAGACCTTTTAATAGATAACTGTGATTATCTATTAAATCACACTGAGATCAGTGAGGCTCCACCTGAAGAAACTCAAATGAATCAGTCAAGTATTATATTACTTACAATGTACTCTTAAATTGAGTAAGTCAAAAAAGCAAACAACTTCTTGACCTTTCATAAATTTAAGGTAAATATTAATAGCCAATTTGGCATATATTGTGCATCCACAGTGATTTGCAGCATGTCCAATATGAAATACCTTTTTTCTCAAACACCTTATAAGTTATGAAATAAAATAGATATCCCACACTGACATAAGTGAAAAGAGAAAAGATTTAAATGAAAATTAAAGAAAGGTTTTTCCTTTTAAAACTAATACTGGGTGATAAACAAAGATGTAATAAGAGGCATGCTCATACCACTGTAAGTGTACATCTATATAACATTCTGGAAAGTAATTTGGTGATGTTACAAGAGTCTTAAAAATAAGAACAACAACAACAAAAAAAGACTGTCTGACTCAGTAATTCTCTTCTACAAAACTAGGGGGGAAATTTCCAAAGATTTATGTCTATTCTTTGTAATTTATACTAGCAAAACATCCCAAACATCTGCCAAGAGAAAGAACTTAAAATATGATAGTTATGAGATATTAAACAGATATTAAAATATTTTTTCCAAGAATATTAAATGACCTGGGAATGTTTGAGCTAAGATTAAGAAAATACTGTATGATCCCTGTTTCAGGAAAAACACATATACATGCTTTAAAAGTGTTAGAGAAAAATGCAAACTTTTATTTATTTGCACTCTCTAGTTTTCAACTTATTTTACAATAAAATTCAACAAAATAACTGTTATTAAAAAGGCACATATTACCAAACAAAATTAAAATATGTAAGTTGTTATGACAGAATTTGCCTGGATTAAGAAGAATTTCACATTTAAAAAACAAAAAAACTCCAGAAAGGCAGGATTAGTAATGACAGTCTATGCAGATTAAACCATGAGGAAATAGTGGCAGACCCTGACACTGATCTGAGTAAGTGGAAAATGAGGGAGAATCAAGGATAAGAGTTACAACAGATTTTTTTAAAAATGAAGTTTAACCTATTTCATAATTTTTGTTTCTATTCCTCCAACTGCTGACTTTTAAAAAGCTGGCTGGCTGTTTAAAAAAACAATTTTTGTTATAAAGCCATTATTACTTGGCAATTTCAGTATTTGTAGTATCGGTAAAGATTACAAACCCACACAGGCATTTGATCTTCACAACAATCTCTTCGGAGAGCAATCATATTATGAAAGGATTTACAAGAGGAAACAGATTTGAGATGAGAAAGGTTGTAACTTGCCCAAGGAAATGGCTAGTTTAAGAAGTGGAAAGGGTAGAAACTACTCCCTGCTACGCCTCTTTCTCAAAAATCTGCGTTCCATAACACAGGGTTTTTCTCCAATTTTGAATTATTACCAAGGCTGTTTTTTCCTAGTCAAAACACGCCCAGTATGCAGTATTCAAAAACATACTTCACTCAGGTTTTGTTAATAACTAATCTGTCCTACCCAGTATTTTAAAAAGATTTTGCTTTCTACTAACCCAAACTCAGCACGAAGTTTTAAGCAAAAGTTAAAGAAAGACGAAGATCGTATCTCGAAAGCACATGACTGTTCCTAAGTTTGGAAAATCAAAACAGAATACGCTTCCCACAGTTGCGGGTGGGGGTATCTCCCTGAACTCCTCCTTCGAAGGGCAGAGCAGGCAGGGAAAGTATTAAACACTAATTCTCCCATAGTAACATCTATCCAATGTCTGCTCTCTTGGCAGTAAAGCCGGCCTCTTCCTTTCCTGTGGTTTCTGAAAAGACCAAAACATAAAGCCCTGTACTTCTTGCTACAAACACCACACTCAATTTTTCCAGCAACACCGGTCCTTTCCTCAACACACCCAGTGACACAAACTGGGAAACACCGTCCCTCAATAACCTGTAGATTCCGCTCCATCCCAAATAATTCTAAAGGTCAAACCAACATATGCCTAAAATAAGGTACGAAATAAACTAAGTAACAGTCACATCTAATACAGACAGCTGTGCCTCTCAGCTCCCCCCAAACCAGCTACTACCACACCCGCACGGAGTGAGGCGCGGCCTCAGAGGCAAGGGGCGGGCCCAGGAGACCACGTGTTCTTACTTCTGCGCACGCGCCAGTCAAAACAAAAGAGAGGCTTGTCAAGCCCCGCCCCTCCCACACGTGACCCGCCTCTAGGCCCGCCCCCACCCCGCCCTCCACCCCTACCTACCCTCCCTCCCTTCAGCTCCTGCCAAGGCTGTTAGGTCTAGCCGTTTAAATTTGGCTGCGGTCCGACCCCTGTCCTAGCGCACGATGTTGTGCCGGGGCCCAGAGCCCAACAGCCCAGAGGATTCGGGGGACGAGAGGCTGCCGATCGGGGGCCCAGCCCGCGAGTCCACCCAGCGGTCTTCTCCGCTCTCCCCTCCCCGCGCTGCCGCCGTCCCCAGCCGAGGAGACCCACCCCCCTCAGCCCGCCGCTGAGACGCCGGCCACTCGCCTGCTGGGGCGCCCTGGCTCCCCTCCGCCGCCGCACCTTCGGTTCGGCCGTGGTGGGGGCTGCCGAGGTGATCTCTAGCTGCCCGCCCGCCTCCCCCCAACCCGGGGCGCCGCTGACTCGTCTCCAGAGCGCGCCCTGCTCCCGCCCCGGCCGCCGCCGCCGCCGCGGTTTAACAGTCCGCCCGCTGCCCGCAGCTCCAGGCGGCTCGGGGGACGGAACCCTGCAGCGGTGTGGGGGCGGAGCCCGGTGCCGGCCAATGGCAGCGGGGGAGGGGCAGCGCCATGCAAATGAGAGCGGGCGGCGGGGAAACCCCGGCAGCGGGCGGGGCCTGCGGAAGCTGCTCGGAGCGTTCTGGAAGTGGCCAGAGCGCGACGGCCGAACTCTGCTGCCGGGCGGCTGAGGCGCCGCAGATCCCTACGAGCGTGTTCCTCGCGGCTTCTGCTTCCCTGTGCCAGCCAGGAAAAACAACAACAAAAATACGGCAGGGAGACTTCCCGCCTCTGCCCTGCTATTTCTGTACCTCCGTGACAGGAAAAACAAAGCACTGGGGAAAGTCAGGCTGCTTCTAGTCCTGCAGCCCGCCCCGGGGCCGCCCAGGCTCCTGGCGCCCGGGTCTCCCACCCACGCCGCACCAGGAGCAAGTTGTAAGGCCCTTTCACCCAGCTGTCAAATCTGTAGGTCTCCATACATCTGTCGTATTTGCATAATTAGCTGCTTGCTCAAAACCAGTCATAATTTTGTACTACCCTTTAGAGCCCCTGAAATTGATGATCAATGTGCATTGGATACACACTGGGTCGGCGTCTGTTTTTTTTTAAACCAAAAACAGGAGCCGCGAGAGCACGTTTTTCTTTTCTTTTCTTTCTTTCTTTTTTTTTTTTTTTGGTCTCTACAAAACTGCAGTTGGAGTTAAGTCCGCTCTGCAGTAGCGCAGTTAGATAAATAAACTGAGTTTTATGTGAAGATAGTTGGCCAGAGACGATGCCCAAAAACATCCCTAGGAGACTTGCACCTGGCTCAGCGCTCCTCTCACCACTAAACTACACCCAGGCACTTTTTTTCTTGAAACTATAGCTGTTTGGACGATGGATTCCAGGATTTCCTAAGCATCTTACTTTCGCTGGAATGACTTAGGGAGTAGAGGGAACTCGAATTTTAGATCCAGAATGATAATTGCCGCTACTTCGGCCTTATTAATTGGGCTTTATTAATTGGATCGGAGTAATTAAAAGGGAAGTCAGAGAGTCAAGAAATTAGTTACAACAAAGACATCCCCTAAAACAGTACTAGAATTGCAAGTCGGAATGCATGTTTCTGATCTTTCTAGTACGTTGTGATATTAGTGAAAAATTGTTTTGACAAACGGGATTTAACGGAGAGAATACTTTTTTTTAACTACTCAAAACAACAATTGTACCTTATGGGGCAAGGGAAGGTTCAGGAAAATGATTTACCCTCGTTGGATTAAAAGTTGTGAACTATTAGTGTGTTGTGAAAAATAAATCCACGAATATATGCTGGGCACTTACCATATCTAAAGGGCTGCTATAGTCCCTTAGGGACTGAAATGGAAAAATTAGCAACCTATTGAGAGAGAAAGAGAGAGAGAAAGAGAGAGAAGGATAGGGAAAAAAAAAAAAAAAAAAAACCCGAATCTAGTTGGCAGTGTTCTTTTCTACC